GCCCGGCCGCAGCTGCAGCGCCGCGGAAGAAGGTGAGGCCGGGCAAGGAGGGGGCCGGGAGCGGGTGCGGGGTACCGGGAAAACGGGGGCGCCCAGGAGAGGAGCTTACCAACCTCGGCCTGCGCCCAGCAGAGAAGGAGTCAGACGGGTATGTTCCGCTGTGGTTCGAGAAGAGACTGGACCCGCTCACCAGAGAGACGGCCTACGTGTACAAGGGTGGCTACTGGGAGGCCAAGGAGAAGCAGGAGTGGCACATGTGCCCCAACATCTTCTGAGTGCCACCCTGCAGCAATAACGCACTCAGTTCATTAGTGAATGCCGCCCTTATTTCCGACCCCCTCCGAAAAACGTGTTGGGGAACCTATGAAGGGGAAGGGCTGACCCGGGTTCTCTCCATCTCCCAGGTGCACCGGGTCACCTGCACCCCTTCACCATGGACTTGGGCCCCGTGGGCACCCCAGCACCCACTTAACAACTCAGGCTGGCTGGCCCAGACCATCAGCTGCCCAGGTCACCAGCCCCAATCCAGGGAGGAACTGGCCCCTCCTTGGGAGCCTCTTTTGACTTTTTTAGGAAAAAAAAAAATCTCCATTTCTTTCCAGCCATGATTTTTAGTACAGTATTTAGCAGACAACTTTCAAAATGTGCTTCCTTGCCACGAAATAGTCCTGGCAAGATTCCCCTTTAAAGACAGCAGGAAGCCAGACCCCTTTGAATTGGGAGCATTTTGTAGCTCGACGTGGCAAAGCCCTCTGTCTGAGCTACCCGTCCACTTGGAGCCTAGGGCCCGCGGAGACGGTGCAGGAGGGGGCTTCCCTGGCCCAGCTGAGCACAAGTGGTCTGGGAGTGACAGCCCCTAACTGGGATAGGGTACTGCTGAGAGCCCCAAGTAACCTGAGGGCAGCAGCCCCTTGCCTACCCTGGCCATGCTGGGGCGGCACCCTAGCCCCAAAGAGGCCAAGCAGGAATGAAAAGGAGGGCCCACCGGTGCTCCCCACCCTGAGAACCAGGCCCCAAATCAGCAATAACTGACACTCTGCGCAACCTGGGCTGGTGACCTGGGCACCACAGATCCAGCACCCACCTCGTCCTCAGGTGGCTCCAGGGGCGCCCCATCTCAGCACCCCCTGAACTCCTTACTTGCCTAATTTATATAGATACATGATATATAACTATATAATAGCTATTTTGCTTAAATTTCTATAGTATGTAAAAATGAAAAATGATGAAGACAGGGCACACCTGTCTGAGTTTGGCCTCCCACAAGCTATGCCCTGCCCTCTCCTCATACCCTTCTCATGGCTTCTGCCAACCGTCAGGGGACTGGACCACTGTGGCCAGTCCCGGAGCTCAGAAATCCCTTCTCTAACCCTTCCTACTTCAGTTAGGTCCTGAAAGTTCACTGTGGGGTTTTTTCTTTCTACTTCAGGACTGGTTTTTATATAAAACACAAAAACAAAAAACAAAAGTGAAAACATCAACATGTGAAATGCCTTATGATGCCCACTCCAGAGGGGCGGGATGGGGCCCCCACGGAGCCTCTCCTCAGAGCTATGGAGTGGGACCTCTTCCCAACACTTGTGAGCAAGCAGCTTCTAACCCCTAATAAACACCATTGGCTCTGGAGTTTCTACTGCCTTGTCCCTGAGTCTGTCTGCGGCTGGATGAAGGGGGCTAACAAAAGCAACAGGGGATGGGCCCTGAGGCGGCATGGGGAGGACTCTGGGGCTTTGTTCTGCTAGGTCTGTGCAAGGAAGGCTGCCCAGGGCCACCCTGATGACTACACCCCGTCCGCCTCCTCTCAGGGCAGTCCTCGGCCACCTGGAGACCTCCAGCGTCTCCCTCCTGCCTCAGTTTCTGTAGCTGTCTAGGGCGGGGCCGAGGCATCCACAGCCCTCCACGAGTGTCTCACGGTTCATCCACCAGTGAGTTAGTCCGGTGGCTGAGTACCCTGCTGGGGTGTGAGGCCTGACCGAAAGGGCGGTTACTGGGGTGTGGCCTGCACGTGTCTCTGTCTCTGGCTCCCCACTTCTCTCCCTGCTTCCCGCCTGCTTTAAGTAGCTTTCTGTTGGCGGGCTCTTCTCTCATACTGGGTTCTTTTTCAACCCTGCGTGGACAGACTTCTGTGCTGCAGTTCACAACCCTGGCACAGCACAATGGATGACAGATTACTCAGGATTAGACGTTCGATTTAAACTCTTAAGACCCAGAGGGACTGCCCTTAACTGAGATCCTCTCAGTGTGAGCCTCATAAAGATAGCTACAAATTGAAGCTTCTGTGGCTTTTTTTTTTTTTAGCAGGGTCTCCCTTTGTAGTTCAGGCTGGCCCTGAACTCACTATGTAGCCCAGGCTGGCCTCAAACTCGTGGAGATCCTCCTGCCTCAGCCTCCTGCGAGATGGGATTACAGGCGAGTGCCACCATGTCCAACTGTGGCTCAGGAAGCATGGATAAAGGTCAAAAGAAGAATATCTGTATAGGTCAGTATAGGTGACCAGGGAAGGATTACTGTTACATGATTGACCTTATGGCCAATCTAAGTGGAGTATGGGGAAGAGAGGGCAAGAGCATTCATTCCTTAAGGCAGTGCATTTTGATCCTACATGGACTTGTGGCCCTGTAGACTTCTAATCTCTAATCACGTATTCCGGGAGGTTCTGGATATGTGGCTCCAAAAGTCCCTTGCCTCTGCATATCCATTCCATATACACCTCTGACCAGAGACCACACCTCTGAAGCTGTGAGCCAAGATAAACCTCTTCCCTTGAGTTGTGGGCAGTGCAGTGTCTCAGCAATGAGGAGAATGACTAAGACAAGGAGGGAAGGCGTACCCTGGTGAGTTCCACACTGCCTGACAGTCATGACCTGGGCTGCCTCTGTTGCCCTGAGAGCCAGCAAGAGCAGCTGGTGGTCTGCCCACTGGGTCATCCTTCACTGCCAGTGCGTCCAAGTGAGACCGTGGGGTACGGCTCTCGCCATGCCTTGTTTCCCCATCTGTGAGGAGGTGGCCACTGGTGAGTCCCGGCAAAAGAGCTGGAGAGGCAGCACTTACTGGAATAGGGGAGTGGCGGAGGGCAGGCTGCACGGACAAAGGCCAGCCTCCTAGGGCAGAGTTAGGGATCTGAAGACCCCGAAATGGACTGGACCAGGTAGAGACCTGAACAGAGAGTGACACTGGGGCAACATTATGGACAGTGGTGACCAGCACACAATCAAACGGATATGTACTTAACGGTCCCCTGTATACCGGCCACTACTTAGTAAAATACACAGAAAGGTTCTAGCTGGGCATACTGGCACGCACCTGTAATCCCAGCACTCGGGTAGCTGAAATAGGAGGACTGCTATGAGATTGAGGCCATCCTGGGCCAGTGAATTCAAAGTCAGCCTGAACTACACAGTGAGACCATCTAAAAAGAAAAACATTATATAGCAACATAGGATGTAAGTGACAGTGATACACCCAACAAAAAGATAACACATAAAAGAACTTATGGATAGCAATGAAAAGATCCGCGTTCACAGGGAAAATGCTGTCTTCGCTAATGGATAAACTCAGTCAAGTCAGATGCAAATCTGCAAATTCAATATGATCTCCGTTAAAATCCTACCAATAAAGTACCATTCAAAACTTTGCAGGACTAGAGCTTAGCATGAGGGAAGAGGGGAAAAGACATGAGAGAGAGAAAATTCAAAGTGAAACTCTGAACAAAAGCAACAAAAACTAACATTCTCTTTATGAAGCTAGCCAGCAATGCATAACTTCAACAAAACCTGATGTAGTGCTAAAATACACAATCCAAACTCATTTTTTTAAAGAATACTCAAAAATCCAAATAAGACAACAGAAAATGTAATCCAGCCACAGAGACTCATACCTTAAGTTGGTGTGCCCAAATTGGCTTGATATGGAAATTCATAAATGGTCAATACAAGAAGCTTTCTATTGTAAATCATTCTTTGCACTAATCAGTTGGGAGGACTTCCCTTTCTGGTAATGCAGTAGACTAGTTCTAGAAGATATTCCTTTGTGGAAAATTACATGCACTGTATAAAATTTTTTAAATCGTAAATGCATCCACTAGAAAGAATAGAAACTAGAAAGAATATAAGGATATTTACCTCACCACTATTTAGTGATCCAGTGAGCATATTGCTTCACAAGCTCACAAGGTAAAGCATCTTATAGGCAATGTCTCCTGTAAAGGTGTGTCCCCAGAGAGTTAGACTTTCACTATAATGATGAGTCCAAAATAAAAGTTGATCCTAAGCACAGTAGGAAAAAAATATCCTGAGAATTTATAATCAGCAGACCCTTGGTTGGTTGGTTTTGTAGCCCAGCTAAACTACCTGAACAGTGTAAAAAAACACCTAGCAGAGACTCTAAAATAATCCTAAATTGTCAACATTTTCAGTCACCTTGGAGAAGCAAGCCAGTTCCCTTAAGAGAATTTCCTCTTCACTCTAGGACCTAATGAAACCTAAACGTGAAGTTGCATAAAAAATGGGCAGCTCACAGCATAGAAATTTTAAGCACATATGGAAAAACAAGGGCCACTACAAATAAAAGATGATAGGGTCAGATGTAAAACTCCTGCACATAATGAAATTATCAGACAGAAAATAACCATGTTCAATATATTTCTAGAAACAGAAGGGATTTTGAACACATTGAAAAATACTTTAAATTTCCAGAAAAAAAAAATTGTATCACCAAAAACTCAGTGGAAAGTGGGAAGGGTAGGGGAAAGGAAATAAGGGAAAAGAAAAAAATATGAGGAAAGGAAAAAAATGGAAATAAGGCTTTTGTAAATAGGAAAGGGAGGAGGTGGTGAAGGGAGGGCAGGGACAAGGGGAAAAAGGGAGAACCAAGACCTGTCATGTAAAGGTACAGGATCCCAATGATGAATGTAACTGTACTGTATACCTAAAATGTACCAATAAACTCAATGAGAAAAAAAACTCAGTGGATAATATTGTAACAGAATTTACACAACTGAATAGTGTATTTATGATATAGAAGTAAGATCTGAAGAAATCCAGAATGTAACATAAAGACACAAAGAGGCAAAAAATATAAAAACGAAGTTAGGAGACATGAAGGATAAAGTTAAAAGGTCCCACTTGTGTCTCATCTGTTTTGAGGAGAAAAAAAATTTTTTTTAAATAAATAGACCAGAAACAGTATTTGGCTAAAAATTTCCAAAGACTCATGAAAAATACCAATAAGCAGTCAAGCTCAAGAAACCCCAAGGGGGGTAAATAAAAGTACATACACAGCTAAATACAATATAGTGAAATTACAAGATGACTAAGACAATAAAATCTCAAAAGCAGTTGGACTGGAGAGGGAAGAAAAAGACTACCTTCAAAGAGCATCAGTTAAACTGCGAGTTGACTTCTGAAGGAAATCAGAAGACACAGAAATGGTTATCTCCAAAGCAGGGGAGAAAATTTTAGTATTTCCAGTCAAAATATCTTTTAGGAACAAAAGCAAAACAAGGATTAGCAAAGATTTTCAAAACAGTATCAATAGTATCCTGTGGAGTGAGACTTTGATGAAATAAGTATTATATAAAACTTATAATGATTAAAGGAACAGGAATACTAAATTTCCAAAACAGTAATGGAAACCAAGGAAGGGGAGAAAAATCTCAATCTAAAAGAAGACAGGAAAAGGAGGTAAAGGG